TTACTATTTTATTAAAATTAGGTAAAAAAGGTTATACAATGATAGGCAACCTAAATATTTATGTATTGTAGTTAAAAATAATATCTTTTAACAAGTTAGGATACATTTATTGAGTTATTTTAAATGTTTATAAGCTTAAAATGACAGTATCTCTGCCAACCTATTTGCACAAAAAGATCTATTATGAAGGAGTTAAACCAAGTCTCTTAAAACGAATAATATTGGTAGTATTTAAAATAAGAACATGTGAACAACTATATTAAGGGAAAGCTACCCCACACAGGTATAACATGAAAAAATATGTGAGAATATTTGTTACAAAATTTAAATTTCAAACAGTACAGGATGCAGTATCTTTTAAATAATTCTAACTGTGGTTTCAGAAAACAATAAAAGTAAATGATAGTTTTTGACATCAAATTCTCATAATAAATGGTATTTAGTGGTTTTTAACATCCTGATTTTAGCAAATTTTTAGATAGCGATTTAGACATAATTTTAACGTTTTATTTTAGTGATATTATATAGAAAATTTTAACACACATTAGAGCTGTACAGTTACCTGAGTGATTGTTATTAAATAAAATGCTTGATAAAAAAGTCTTTTTTATACTCATAAAATGAGTTGTAAAAAAGACTTATCAAAAAGATTAATAATCTTTGTATTATAAACAATTTATATTATAGAGCAATCCAAAAATTTTTTAATTGAAATAGACTCAAAATAAAATGTCTTGTATTAGAACTTAAGTTATTTCCACAGAATAAAATATTAGTCTTTACGAAATAGTGACATTGAAACTGAACATTTTGGACAAATTCCTTAAAATGTATATTGAAATATATTCTACAATACATTTTTTTAACACACAGCGAAAAACAGAACCTACCAAATGTTACTTTTTTAAGTAAGTGATCTAAAAATTCTTAGTATATAATTTCAGTACGGCTTATTGAATACAAACTAATGATATAAACTACTTTTAAAAGTAATACATCGTTTTCATCATTATCATTATACAGTTGTGATGGATGCGCGTAGATAATGTTTGTTGTATGACCGTTATTGAACGACGTCCTTTATTACGATGCGCATTGTGTCTTGGTTTTCGTTTAAAATTTTCTTGGTTTTCTCTGTTAAAAGTTTCCTTCCAGCGTTTTCATTTTTTTAACTGTGTTCATTACGCCAGTTACGTTTTTCTCCTATTTGATTTAAAGCTCTGTCTCTGAGGAATATAATCAACATTGACCTCTCCATTGCTCTTTGTGTCACTTGTATTTTTGTATTATTTTTCTGGTAAGGATCAGTAGTGCAATTCCATACATTATATAACCGAAAGCATATACTGATCAAAGACCTTTCATTTTAAGAACATGGGAATATCTAATTGGAAGACTTTCTCAGTTTTCCGTAAGCTGTCTGTTTAAAATCAAAACATTAACCAGATCTTTGTAAATCACATCAACGCGTGGAGGATGACCTCAAAAGGAATCACCTAATTTTAGCAGCAGAACGTTGAGAAAGATAGTTATAAATAAATCATGTACCAGTAGCTAACTTTGAACGTATTGTATTCCGGACATTGTGACAATATATGAGATTTGGAATATAGTAAGTTTTATTAAACAAACACTACTTAGCAACCCTTGAAAGTAAGCCAACTAAGCGATGGAGCCTCCAGTTACCTTTAACTAACCTTATAAAGAAATCAATATCCAGTGTACGTGCTATCGAAGAAGCAAGAGATTTAGGGAGTAAAACTATTCTTGATCTTAAGCATATCACCGTGCCCGATCTACTACACTGTCCATGTTAGTCCTATTCTCCTGTATGATTATATTGTTTGGTGATCTCGTATAGATACAGATGTAGCCAGATGTTCTCCTGAAACATTAAGATGAAGCAGAACTAATCTGACTTGACAATATCCGGAAAGAAACTAACTGAAATCGTATATATATATATATATATATATATATATATATATATATACATATATAAAACCTAGAGCTAAGATTAATATTATTGCTAATATTACAGTAATAATATTAATCTTAGCTCTAGGTTTTATTGTACTAACCGCGGAAATCTTTCCAAACATTATATACATATATATACATATATATACATATATATACATATATATATATATATATATATATATATATATATATATATATATATATATATATATATATAAGAATCACTCAGACGAGTGGTGGGTTCTTATATCGGTCTCTAGGTGGAGAAATAAAAGACAAATTTGATAGGCTACTTTATCTATTTTGAAGACGTTTCGCTTTCGAGTTTTGAAAGCATCATCAGTTCATCTAAAAAGTACAATATGAGAACCACACAATCATGGAAACGATGTTAATTGTTACCTTAAAAAGACATGTAGCAGTCAAAGTTATTAACAACAATGTGAATGAAACTTAAGTAAATGGACATAATACGCTGATCTTGTATAAACAATTAAGTAACTAACAACATATATGAACTTATAAAAATTAGCACAGCAAATGACCATGTGGTCTAAAGTAAATTAAATGTTATTTAATATAAATTAGTGAGAAAGAACCAAGAAAATCATAGACAACTTCCAACTATTTTATGATTATTAAGCTTTGATTTTAACTTTAGGTAGCATTATAAGTGATATTAATAAAAATTATAAAAGTAGTGTAAATGAAGTTACCGATCAAAGCCCTACAGCAGTCGCCGGAAAAATGGCGTTAGATGAACCGGAACTAACTAAACCGCGAAAAGACAGCCAACCTTGAGGTCAAAATACTTTTGACAGATCAGCAAGGTGGAGGTACCAACCCAAATAATTGGGCGGTCAATTTAAAAGTTTAACCCTCCGTTAGTCGCTAGGAAAAACTGAGCATTAAGAGTCGCTACGGTGTCTGGGACCGACAATTAAAAAATATTTTTGTTAATATAAAATTCATACAAATATTTATATTGTTTGTAGGAATAACTAAAAAATATTTTAGAAAATATTTTATTGAAAAAAAAAACAGATACAAAATGAAAAACACTAGTTTAACAATATATTGTGAATATTGTTTTGAAGCTATTATTTGTGACATTTTAAAGTAATTACTGTTTAAATGGGAATAAGCCACAATTAAAGGTTAAAGTAAGTTTATTGATGTTTTAATTTTCACATCGGATATCGGTCTTAAAATACAAACATTAGTTTGTGTTACGTACTATATAATTTTCTTGTCTTGTTCTAACATTTTACGGTGGAATAGCCTTTTTTCATCTAGTAATGCTATATTTTCCAATAAACGCTAAGGTATTACTTCCACTTTCTTTTTTCTCATCTGTCACATCTTGTTCCGATTCATTTCCACCATCATCACCTCAATTTGATCTATTTCGCTTTCACTTTCCTCATCGTCAAAATAATTTTCATCGTCGGTAGGAATCATGTCCATAATTCCAACAAACATTGGAATCAAAGTTGTTTGGCTTCAAAGGACATCTATAAATAAGAATTGACAAGAATTTACCGATAAAATGTAATAATAAGATAATAAATATTTACCTGTTCTGCAAGTTCTGCAACAAATACTAGCTACACCGTTAGTCGCTACGGACTCTCGCACCGAAAATAACTATAAAACTCACACAACTGTACCCAGGAATGTAAAAATGAACACTAACACGACTTTGGTTGATCGGGAGAGGTACAGAAAGTGGCGATAGAAAAATAACAGTTATTTGTAAATCCCGAATGAATAATTTTGTCGTCGGTGTGTGACACCGATAGCGACTAACGAAGGGTTAAATAAGTTTGGATGACTACCCGGTTGTAAAAGACAAACCAGTGAAAGAAATTGGTATTGTAATAGCAACTCCTCTCATTAATCAGTCTAGATTTACAAACAGGAGATTTTCATTCAACCTCATATATAAGTAATAACGTTAATCATTATGGCTAGATAATCAGCCACAGGTGGTTAACGACACATTAACTTCCAACAGCCCAAGGTTCATGTACTTGGAACTGCAATTTGCAAAGGATTCTATGAATCCTTTGCTAACGACACATTAACTTCTGTTGGAATCAGGTTCTATCGGTCTGGAATTGAAACAATTCTGTTTTTTAGTCACTTAATATTTCGCCAATTAATTATTGGCTTCATCAGAAGTGCTCTACAAATTTATTAAAACAAAGAGATAAGCAACATTACGATAAAATTACATAAATATGTACTTACAGAGGTAGAACTGTTCACAAAAAAAAGAGACATGTTTAGCATTAGTTTGACACTTTGACAATTAAACTGACAATTTTCAAAATAAGTTTCAAAATATACACATAAAACAACAAAAAGTGTATAGTGGATTAGACGATTTTTCTGAAATTTTTATATATAAAAAATATATATTTTAAATAATATACGGTTTTTGTTTAGTATCATATAAATGATACCAAACAAAAAATTATATATATATATATATATATATATATATATATATATATATATTATACATATAATATATATAATATATATATATATATATATATGTATATATATATATATATATATATATATATATATATATATATATATAAACATTACATATTTTCTAATAAGAAATAGTAGATTGCTCTATAGTCTATTGTACAAAAATAATGGAAATAAGTTTACCGGCAGATATTTTATTAACATTTTCTATTTTAAGCAGGTATCTGCTTTTAATATATTAATCATTTTATTATTTGAATCTTAAGTTTATGATTAAATAGCTTGTATTTTAACAATCACTTGGTAGAACTTACAGTAGTGTTGTTATTGCGCACGCAGCTTTCAGTTGAACTCTGTCATGGACGGCAGCTCTGTTAGTTCTCCATTAGAGTCTCCCGAAGTCCCAATTACCTCCTCAGTGGCTACTCTGCAGTCCGCCGAATCGCTTTCGATACGTCGCCAGGTGCGTCTAGATACTACCAAACCTCATGTTCACACCAAAATATTGCTAGAGAAAACACAAGACATTCCTGGTACCGTTATACCCTCCTGCAATCCTGAACGTCTCCCTGTTCAACCTCAAATGTCTTTAGATAAAACTCCCGACACACCTAGTGCGAATATATCGTTTCATTCCTCCTCTGAGTTATCGCAAGCTTTCACGTCTCACTTTACATCGGAAGCTAGTCTGCTACCTAGGCATACTCTTCCGGAAGATGCCCTGACTCCGTCTGCTATTCTTACCCCCAGTACGGAGGCTTGCATCGACGATCAGAGCGATGAAACTGATGAATTTCGTCTCGGGGATGAACCTTGGGACGCAAGTCAGTTTAATTATGATATGAGCTGTTTAAATATCGACGGTTTATCTCAAAAAAGCTAAAAGTATTATAACAATGACCGTGCTGTTACAGTTAATAGTTTCATATAGAATTCGGTGCGTGGCATTGATCAATGAAAAATACCTCAGCTATTTAAGCAGAATCATTATTATATTTTTGATTTATTTTTACAGAAAGGTCAAAGGTACTTGGAATAGTATTGGTAAATTCTAACATCAGTTACTTTATTTATTTTATAATTAAATTTACATTAAATTACATCCTTCAATGCAGAAATAGGGAGATATTATAAAAATGAATTGTTTAAATATTCATTTGGCATGTACGGTTTTTCGACCTTACTGATAACAAATTGTCTAAAATTAAGTACAAATTAAAAGTATCAGACTTTTAAAATTTAGGTGTAACATCAAATAATATAAAAAGTAACATCAAACTAGACCAGCTTGAATTTAGACGTACATCATATTAAAGACAAAAGATGCAGAAGACTACAAAAGATGCTGCAAGAATATCAAAAACTACTGATAAATCCTATTCTTCTTGTAGTGCTATCTGTAGAATATATGCAAGAATTATTCGAAGATGCAGCTTGAAGTCCGACTAAAGTAAACAATCCCTACGGCCCAGAAATAACAAACGAAGAAGTAACTATGGCCATTAAGCGGATTTAAGATGGGAAATCATCAGGACCTCTATCAGGAGGTGCATGGTCAAATCTTAAAGCTATTAGAGTCACACCAAATCACAGCTCTTACGAAGCTATTCAACAACATCTACGAGACTGGTTACTTACCAAAAGGCTACTATCAATATTCATTCCACTTTCTAAAAAAGCCAATGCTAGAAAATGTGAAGAACATAGATTAATTAGTTTGTTGAGCTATGTACTTAAAGTACTCCTTACTGTCATTCACTCACGCATCTACACCAAACTAAAAGAATACCTAAGTGAAGTTCAATTTGGATTCAGAGCAGGACTCGGAACGAGGGAAGCACGTTTTAGTTTGCAAGTTCTAACACAGAGAGCCAGAGATGTCAACTGCGATGTGTATGCATGTTTCATTGATTTCAAGAAGGCATTTGATAAAGTCCCATATGGGAAACTAATCAATATTCTAAAAACATCAGGACTCGATGGTACGGATATAAGACTGATCCCAAACTTATATTTCCAACAAAAAGCAACAGTACGATAAGAAAAGGAACTGTCTGATATCTTCACAGTCAAAAAAGGAGTTAGACAGGGTTGCTAATTGTCACCGGCATTATTTAACATATACTCTGAAAACATCTTTAGAGAGGCCTTGGACGAATCAGAAGGTGGGATTGCTGTAAATGGCCAACTTATAAACAACATTAGATATGCAGACGATACAGTGTTGCTGGCAGATAGTACGCATCTATCATCCAAAGGATGATAGATAACATTGTAGAAGCAAGAAGGGTGAAAAAAATATGCTATTTTGGCTGCAATTTTAAGGATACTTGGGATCACAGCTACGAAATAAAAACTCGTATTGAAACAACCAGAAGCTCTTTCAACAGCCTTAGGAAGATTCTCTGCAACTTATCTTTAAGTATCAATATACGCATTGGAATTCCTAGATGTTACGTCTTTAGTGTCTTCCTTTATGGAGTAGAAAGCAGGAGCGTTACAGAAGATGCCATAAAACGATTGGAGGCATTTGAAATGTGGTGCTACCGACGTATGTTGAGGGTCTCATATATACACCACACAAGAAACATAACTATTCTCCAGGGGCTAAGAAAAGACAAAGAAATTATTAACACCATAAATAACAGAAAATTGGCTTACTTCGGCCACATCATAGGTAATGATAAATACCGACTTCTACAGTTGATTCTACAAGGCAAGGTTGAGGGTAAGAGAGGTTCCACTCTTAGGAAATGGACTGGTCTAACGTCAGCTATCTATTTTGAGCTGCTGTGAATCGAATAAGATGGGTCAATGTGGTCGCCAACATTTCTAGAAGATAGGCACATTTAAAAGAAGTGCCTATCTGTTGGCATGGTTTGCACAATACTGCTCTGAAAAGATTTGTGGTTATTGTGTTGAATCACACTCGTAGATTATTCAGCCAGGAAATTGTTTGCCTTGCTGTGCTTCGTTTTTCTTCTACTTTTCCCTGTAAAATTAGTTCCAGTAATCCATATCTTTCGCAATTTCTCATGATGTAACCAAGGTATTCAATTTAAGCTGTTTTTGTTGGGTTTAACAGCTTTTTTACTTTTTGTATTCTTATTAGAACTTCCTCATTAGTAACGTGGTCGGTATAGGATATCTTTATATCGACAATAACGGTACGTTTCGAATGCTCCAATTATCTTGAAGGTAGCATCTTAGAAATATATAACATCGTAGTAACGTTATTTTTATGAGTATTAATAAATTATGAGATTTGACTAACTGAGCCATTTTTTTAAAATGGAGATCTTGCTTTTTTTATCCCAATCCGTCTGAATTTTATCTGATCCGTCCAAATTGCTATTCCTTCTTGAAAGTCATCATACATCTTGTTTTCTTAATGTTTAGTGAATGTGAACAGTGTTAAATGCAAAAAAAAACAAAAATAGTATATTAACTGTAAACAAATCGACCAGAAGGCATAGCAGGCGAAGTATGGAGAACAATACTAAATCCCTAAGAACGAATAAAAAGGAAAAACTTATCTAACTATATCAGCTCAATACCCTTAAAAAATTTGAAAAGATTCATATCAAAACCTATTGGCCAAATATCGGCCACAGTTTTTTTCTGAAAATAATGACCAGTCTTTCCAGTCATAGACATCTTTTATAGAAGAATACTCAATAACACCAACTAAAATAAAAAAAAACCTAATGACAATGAAAAATAGATAAGATTCTGGACATAAAATTCTTCCCAATAACTTTTAAATTATGGACCGGACTCATTATAATAACTACTCACTTTTTGTTTAATTGCTTTTTAAGAGGCGAAGAACTGCCACCCGAATGGAAAGAGCCTTCGTATCAAACATCCATAAAAAAGATGACAAGAAAGTGCTGCAACTATAGAGGTTTAACTCCAAAAACCTATGTTTTTAGACTATACAACGAAATAAATAGCACGAATATGAAATAAAGAAATGAGCAGCAAGTTACTAATGAGGAGGAGCAAAGTAATTTCCGTATAGTAAGGGCTTGTACTGACAACCTGTTTAGCTAAAAGTTGAAAGCCAAGCCTATAATAGCTTAAAAAAAAGAACAGTCAGAAACTTAGAAATACGTTTTTTGCGTTGTGTTGAAGAAACAGATTAAAAAATATACAAACATAAGAATCTACCGTACCATAGTTGAAAGCCTCGCAACTTATGGAGCTGAGGTCTGTCAAGTGACAGAATGTTAAAAAAAGCTACTGTCAATGTAAATGGATAAAAAATTATATGGGCAAAGAATGGGTACAGAGACTACAATAATTGACACCATTTAAGTCAAGAGTTTAAGATAGTATGGAAATAAATGGAGACAGGTGGCCAAAAAAAAGTGACCGATAGAAGATGAGTGCGGAGAAGAAGAGGACACCCGAGAAAGACATCAGGAGGGAGATAGAAAGCGGTGCAAACTATTCTAAACTAATCAAACTAATCAAACTAATCGTAATATATAAAACAATCTATATTAGGAAGTCAAAATTATAATATTCTTTAACTTAAATTCGAGGGAAAGAGAGAAACCATTAAGCTGCAAAATTATAACCTACATAGATAGTGGTGGATAAAAAAATTCGATTTTGAATTTCGCCAAAATCCAAAGGAAATATTGTCGATGGTGTTACATATTCAATATTGATGGCTCACATAGTTGGTTATCAATACAAATGATTATAAATTTAGTTTCTACGTTGCCAAAATTTCAGTAACGCTTAGATATTCTAAAAGTCAATTTAGAAAAATCATAAAAATAATATTTGATGTTTAAAGTTTTTGGAGTATTACTCTAAAAGAAATATTTTATTTCTATATAAATTCGTACTATAAGTTAAAAAATCTAATCGATAAGTACCAGTTGACTAATTCTAAACTTTCTACGATCGAGACTTTGTACGCAACTCTTAACCCCTCCCTAATAAACATAAGATCCTACCGATGAACCCTGAAAAAATTAGGGAAGCGAGTGAAATAATCAAGTTAAATCTTCTACATTTTGAGATATCCGATTTAAAAGTTAAGGAATTGGTTGTTGTAGACAACTTACATAACTTTGGAAATCTTATAAAAAAAAATTCGAAAATGACTTGAAAAGTATTGGTATAAATTTTTTTTTTGCGAATCTCAGTTCTTGTTAAAATAGACCAAAAAATATAAAAATATCTATATTTGACGTTTCGACTTGTCGACCAGATTAAAAGGCGTAAATAGCATACAGTTCAACAGTGTAAACGCGGCATGTGGCAGGTATTTGACATGAACTAACGATTGTTACCGTAGTGGTAACCGCACAACCAACCCCCGTTTCGTTCTTTGATGCGTCAGTGTAGAGGACCCGATCGAATTTCCTAAAATTAAGAATTTCTAGTAAGGATTTGCTAATTAAATCCTGGATGGTATCTCCCTTACTAAACTTTGTAAGTGACACGTTAAATTTTGGTAAAGTTTTGGTTCAATTCTGCGGGATCGGGAGAGGGTTAGTTAGGGATAAATTTATATGTGGTATTAAAGTTGGAAGTAGGAGGGTGATAATGTGTATGCGTGAAGGAGGAGGGTGAGTACTAGTATAGTTGTGTAATGTCAGCAATGTGTGTACTGGATTAGAAAGGTTAGCTGAAGTAGAGGCAGCATAAGAAAGGAGGAGATATTGGCGCCCAGGCCAAAGAGGGGGTCGTTTTCTTCGCAGTAGAGGCTCTTAGCTGGACTGCTACGAAAAGTCCCTAAACAGAGGCGGATAGCAGTATTGTGTACTGAATTAAGGGTTTGTAAGGATGTTTTGATGCTGACATTCTTTTGGAACTTACTCATTGAATAATTGTTTGACGGTCATACTCCTTTATATATAT